TCTCTCTCTCTCTCTCTCTCTCTCTCTCTCTCTCTCTCTCTCTCTCTCTGTGTGTGTGTGTGTGTGTGTGTGTGTGTGTGTGTGTGTGTGTGAGTGAACCTCTCACGAGAATAAATCTTCCTCTTTATCGAGGAAGATTCATTCTCGTTGGGCATGACATTGTCTGATTTCCTTTCTTTTTTTTCTTTTTTTTTTGCTTAATGTTGTATGTTTTTTTTGTTTTTTTTTTGTCTTTTTTTATTTTTCTGTGATGTCCGAGGCTCGGGAATGATCGGGCTATCGGTAGTCCGGGCCTCGGACTTGATATTAGCTAAGCGAGGTACTGGTGGCTTAAGCTACTGATCCCACTAACTGCCATTTCGTCAAAATGGACATTGTTTATTTTTTGAACGAAATTGAAACTGAGTTTTCTGGCCGAAAACTCGTCAAAATTTGTTGTTCCTGAGGGTCCAAACGCTGGACCCCCTGGCTGTACATGGACCTAGCTTGAGACCAGGCACCTTCAGGCAGTCCTGCCTGGAGGTGCCTGGTCTCAAGCTAGGTCCATGTACAGTCAGGGGGTCCAGCGCTGGACGCTCAGGAACAACAAATTTTGAGGAGTTTTTGGCCAAAAAACTCAGTTTCAATTTCGTTCAAAAAATTAACAATGTCCATTTTGACGAAATGGTCGTTACTGGTGTCTTTTACGAAAAAGTTGTAAAAGCAACAAAAAAGTCGGGCCCGCTCCTATCGGACCGTGAAAGGAAAATCGCATCCCACAACTCCGAAAAGAATGGCCCCTTTACAGGCATCGCGGCGCAATAATGTCGGAGGGTGGCGGATCAACGGAGGAAAGGAGGGAGTGACGGAAAAAAAAAACAAAAAAGCAACAACAAAAAAGTTGCTCCAGCTTTTTAGCGGCAGGGTACGGGTGGCTTCTCTTGGAAGACGCCACAGATTCTTGCGTCGGCGATCACTCTCGAGCTGCCACGATAGAAACTGTTTCCACACCCTCCCACCAGCTGCGCCGTGACCTGCTCATACGGAAAGAAGTGGGATCCCCCGAAACTCATATTTTTACTTACCGTAAGTACTGTCAGTAGCTAAGCCACCAGCACTTGGCCCAGCTATAGAGTAGAAACATTTATAGTCAGATGAATTTGGGCGCTCCTGTAGCGGTCAGTACGTTTCCTAAAACCATGGCTTGTTAACGGGCACTACTTTAGGAAGTGCTGGTGGTTAAAAAAAAAAAAAAAAAAAAAAAACGTGGCCAGTTTCAAAGATGCGTGTCAGATTTTTTCGAGGCCGGGGGCAGTGGTGTGCAGACTGCTGTTTCATATTTTTTTGTTTTTTGTCGGCGGCCTTGTCCAAACGACCATTTAATGTTTTTTTCTTTTTTTTCCCCTTTTTTTATTTTTTTATTAAAAAAAAAGGTTCCCTGTATTATCAGGGTCTCTGTGCCCAAGGCAAACATACAAACTGAGATAGAGTTTTCAGTTTCAGAGGCCGCAAGGCCTCCGAGTGCATCTGGCAAGAGGAGCCTGTCCCCTGTGCAAGAGAGCCACAAAAAGCCTAGCAAGAAAAACGGATGCTCCCAAAAGAAACCCTTTCAAAACTTGCTAAAAGAAAAACAGCAAGCACATCACTTATTTCACAAAAGGGAAGATCATCAAAGGGCGTCGTTAGACACTCCTCGAGCCGTCCTCGAGTTCGAGGACGAATTCTCGAAAATTTTTACGTACTTTTGAGGTGTCGTGCCATCTGTCCTCGGAGAATCGCCCCGAGGACGAATCCTCGGGGCCCTCCCACGGCCAGTTTCATGACATTATACACGGCCGCGAGGGTGTTGTACTGCGTCACGGGGCGTGAAGAAAAAAATCGCCAACGCGGGAACGGCCCCGTTTGAATTTCGAAATTCGAATTTGCGCCATGCGGAGCGACGGTTCGGCGGCGCACACGCGGGTCGGCGAGGAGGGGGGCAGTGCACGTCGCGAAGGGTTTCGGCTGCCATGGCATTGTGCACTTAAGTGCCGCTGCACCTCCACGTCTCCAGGGTGTTCGACGCCGCTCCTCGCTTCGTATGCTGCCCGTAGTTGCGCTCGTGACGCAGAGGGGCGCGGCGGTTCCGTACTTCAGCGGCAGTGGGCGGACGCTCCAATCSGTGTGGAACATCGTTAAGCACGGCTGCATTGCTCACCTGATTGCAGACACCTTCAATCGCGGTGRGAGAGGTGCGCGCAGGTAGGTGGCGAGGAAGGTTTCTTTTCCTGTCCGAAGGRGGGAATGGAGGGCTGCGATCGCGATGGTCGCGCTRTGCTGTCCTGTGYGGAGAAGACAACTGTCGCGGCGGCTGCTGTCGCAGTTGTCCGTCGAYTCCAGGTTGAGAGGGCAGCTGGGCGCATGAAAGTGACGCTTTCCAGGCGGCGGTAGAGGATTCTGCTGCAGAGGGTGTTGGACGCCCCGGACTGCGTTACCACTTYTGAGGCAGTGCTTCAGCTATGCTTTGCAATAGGGTGCGGTGTGGTTCTTCGGTCGACGCCACGTTGGTGGATGAGGCGGAGAACCAGCGGGACTTGGGAGGATTTGCGGCTCTGCGATGATGCAACGGACGACTACTTCCGAGAAAAGCTCCGCATRTCGAGGAGAGTTTTCATTGAGATCAGMGAAGCCTGTGCACCTCTCTTGCGACGACAGGTGACGTTCTACAGGGAGCCACTTCCGCCGGAGCAGATCGTCGCCTATGCGTTGTACAGGTGGGCTACAGGAGAGTCATACGACAACAGCACCTCATCTTTCGGCATAGGCAGGGCTTCTGGAATTCTGGTCGTGCGCGATGTGACAAACGCTTTGTTGAGGGTGTATGGGGACAGATTATCGTTGCCGGCGGGGGTGCGAAAACAAGTCGTGCTGCGGGCATTTCTGGAMAAGGGCTTTCCAAACTACCATGGCGCAGTTGACTGCACACACATCTACGTGGACAAACCGACGAACGCGCCCGGCGTGAACTACTTCGACCGCAAGCACCGTTTTTCCGTCATTGCGCAGGTGGTGGTGGACCTGGATCTGCACGTGCTAGACGTGTTCGTCGGATATCCGGGGAGTTGCCACGACATCAGGGTGATCCAACTGTCGAGTCTGTCGAGGCGCGCGGAACAGGGAGTGCTTTTTTGTGGGGCGCCTGTGACGCTGTCGTGGGGGGTGAGGACGAACGGTTACATCTTGGGAGACAACGGGTATCCTCCTTCTGAATGGGTAGTTGTGTCGTACGGAGGAATCAATCAGCAYCCGGACGAGGAAAGGTTCGACACGAAGCAGAAGGTCGCAAGAGGGGCTGTGGAGAGGGCGTTCGGGAGGTTGAAGGGGATGTGGAGGCTCTTCCTGCGGACACACAGGACAAACCTGGAAACACTACCGCAACAGTTCACGGCAGTCTGCATTCTCCACAATATCCTCCTCGATGCCGGTGTCGAGTTCGACGAGAATTTGTTGTGGGAGGTCGACGAGAACGGGGTGAGGCGCCGAGTGGACCTGGGGATTCATCATCCCCTGCAGCCAGTGTCGATGTTGACGTCCACCRGTCCCGCCCTCGCGCTCCGCGACGCGCTGGCGGAGCGAATGGAACACTTGTGATCCTGTGCACTGCCTGCGTCTTTAACGCGCAGAACACTTGCTTCGAGTCGTGTTTTGCCGTCTTCGATTAGTTAGGAGGGTTCGCCCTCTTTCGCTTTTGCACGCGACGAAGCAGATGGTTTWCGGTCGCGGGCGGTCTTTTTCGGAGTTCGTTCTTATGGTCGACGRTAGTGTGCTTGTCCAATTCGTTTATGGTTCCCAGTGACGTGGCTCTGCGGTCGTTCGACGTCATGTCGGCAGTGGTTCGGTTGTGCACTTTGTTTAGAATTGAACGATGTCAGTGGTGGTGGGCGTGGGGGTAATGTGGTTGACAGCTCCTCGGCGAGCTTATGAGTATGTGGTTTACARCGCTGCTTTGTTTCAAATTGAACGATGTTGTCGACTCCTGCGCTTGTTTTGATTGCTATGTGATGACTTCTTCGTGCATTTCGCTTCTTCCTTTCGTTCGGCGACCGACTTCTTTCTCAACCTCATTCAAAATGTTTGTCATTCACACACTATGTGCAATTTTGTGCAATTGCTCAGGGTCATAGGTGACGCATGAATGCGGCAATGAAGATTCATGTACATTGATAAACGAAGCATTTCAATTTTGTTCTTTTAGCAAATGCGTGGTGACAGTGCGTGGCCAGGTTCGTTTCTCTCGTCCTGTTTTTTTTTGTCGTTCCTTTTTTCGCAGGTGCAGKCGATGATAAGGACGCAGACTTGTCACACATCCGACGAAGGGCCGCTTGCAGAAGCAAAAGATGTGAAGGACACGACAATCTCTATTAACGTATTMCATACATGATACATTCACACGAAAGACAACAAAACCAAGTTTGAGCGACGAATCATGGACATGCGAGTACACAATTCTCACACACGAAATAAGACTTCAATTACATGCATTCCTTCCACAAATGAATATTGACACGGAATTCGAAAACAGGAGCCCAATTGTCCACCCTCGAAGCGCACCACARCAACGACGGACTCCACCTGCCTTCTATTTCATTCATGACGTGTCGTGGAGTGGCCTAATAYACAAGGCTTTGGAGCAGATCTACGATCTCTGCTCCAATGAGAAACTAATCACAATGAAAAGAAAAAACCTAGCAGGTGGATTGCTGACACAATAAAGCTCCACCTGCCTTGTACTGTCACCGCACACTAAAACAACACGCGCATGAAGATGACGACTGTCGATGTCACGACACCACCGAACTGCGCGCTCCAACCACGACCATCGACGACAACACGTGTAGCGCGATGGAGGGGTTCTACCCATCCATCGTCATGAATTGCTGCACAGGAACGGCGACCGGCCATCTCACCTTCCAGCCCCC